CTGGTTTAGTCCTAGTTTAAACCTGGTTTAGTCCTGGACCGGTTTAGACCTGGTTTAGTCCTGGTTTAGACTTGGTTTAGTCCTGGTTTAGACCTGGTCCTGGTTTAGTCCTGGTTTAGTCCTGGTTTAGACCTGGTTTAGTCCTGGACTGGTTTAGACCTGGTTTAGTCCTGGTTAGTTTAGTCCTGGTTTAGTCCTGGTTTAGTCCTGGTTTAGACCTGGTTTAGTCCTGATTTAGACTTGGTTTAGTCCTGGTTTAGACCTGGTTTAGTCCTAGTTTAGACCTGGTTTAGTCCTGGACTGGTTTAGACCTGGTTTAGTCCTGGTTTAGACTTGGTTTAGTCCTGGTTTAGACTTGGTTTAGTCCTGGTTTAGTCCTGGTTTAGTCCTGATTTAGTCCTGATTTAGTCCTGATTTAGTCCTGGTTTAGTCCTGATTTAGTCCTGGTTTAGTCCTGATTTAGTCCTGATTTAGTCCTGATTTAGATCTGGTTTTGCCCTGGTTTAGTCCTGATTTAGACCTGGTTTAGACCTGGTTTAGTCCTGGTTTTAGTTCTGGTTTCAGGAGGAAGCGCGGTCTGTGCAGCGTACGCGAGAAAACTTGATCCACACGTGGCGCACGGGAGGACGGCGGTGTGGAGACGTGGTCCACGGGTTCTCAGGTTGATGACGATGATGAAGTGTGTGTGTGTGTGTTTGTGTGTGTATTTGTGTGTGTGTTTGTGTGTGTGTGTGTGTTGTGTGTGTGTGTGTTTGTGTGTGTTTGTGTGCACGTGCCCTCATGTCTCAGGTCACTATAGGACAGTAGTGTAGATTTCATGAGTCTATGCAGGTTGTTTTCACCAGTGCCAGTAGCTCCTGTTTGACATTTACATTACATTTACATTTGACATTACATTTGTAGGCGATTTTATATTTGTTATTTTCTTTTATATTTCACGTCGGGAGAAGAATTTCCAAGACACGAATGTGTTTTTCCCTGTGCACTGCTGCTCTGTTCTACTGGCTCTTCCACCTCGTCCATTGTGTGACTGATGTCGCTGTTACATCGCTCTTATTGCACTCGTTCTGTGTGGGTTTCAATGAGTGGAATTAACGAAATAAAAAAATATTAATTAATGGGATGTAGCACAAAATGTGAAAACAAGAAAATAACTGTAATCGAATACAGTTACTCATACTTTGTACTCTGATTACATAACGCCGGTACATGTAATCTGTTACTCCCCAACACTGATTATATTTATTCAATTACAGGTGGTTTTAGAGCTCAAAAATCCCTCGAAAAACAGGAATTCTCCACATATCTGATCTGTACCGTGGTCCGGTTTGGTCTCCATGAAGATAGAAAGGTTTTACTGTGAAACATTCCAGATAAAGCAATAATATTTCCACGGAGAAAAGCATTTGACGGACCCTCCACCAGAAAAGTTACACAATCTTAATATTTGAAAACAGTCAGAGGAGTGAAGGAGCCAAAAACTACTCAGGAATGGGAAGGGATAATGAAGCATAATATTGTTCGAGATAAAAAGTGTAGATTATAATTGGTCCTGGTACACCTTGTATAATCGAGGTGATCGCCAACAAAGATACTCAGGTTCAGGTTTTCTTTTAGTTTGTCTTGAAGAAATTCGGCTCAGGGCAGGGGTCAGCAGCATTAACAGAGAATACCTAGAAAGAACATCTGAGCTCTGTTAGAACAGGGGTTGGGAGTAATGTGTTATAAAAGTAACGAATTACTCTAATGCATTGCTTTTTTGCTGTAACGCAGTAATGTGGCATTACAGGGAACAAATGTTAATATTTGACTCGGTCAATAACGTGTGTTACAGTGTTTTTTAACCTGGGCTGAAGTGGTGGGATTTTGTTTTTTCTTCATACAAATTCGCTAAAATCACTGTGACATCAGCTGCAGTGAAATGCTGGAGGTGCACCTGTGGTTACCTGATGGTCTGCGCAGGTGCACCTCCTGCATTTCACTGCCGGCACAGAACTCCACACTCCACGGGGCGAAGAGCAACTGACACCCGATTGCACCTTGCAGACACCCTGTTCCACGGACTCGGGGTTCTCTCAGAGGCGATCCTAGATTCCAGGTTCTAATCCAAGATTAGTCCTGGTTTGGTCCTGATTTAGACCTAGTTTAGACCTGGTTCTGTTCTGGTTTAGACCTAGTTTAGTCCTGTTTAGTTCTCGATTCAGTCCTGGTTTAGAACTAGTTTAGTCCTGATTCAGTTTTGGTTTAGTTCTGGTTCAGTCCTGGTTTAGTCCTGGTTTAGACCTGGTTTAGTCCTGGTTTAGACCTGGTTTGGTGCTGGTTTAGTCCTGGTTTAGTCTTGGTTTAGACCTAGTTCAGTCCTGGTTTAGTCCTGGTTCAGTCCTGGTTTAGACCTGGTTTAGATCTGGTATAGACCTGGTTCAGTCCTGATTCATTTCTGGTTTAGTCCTGGTTTTGTCCTGGTTTAGTCCTGGTTCAGCTCTGTTTCAGTCCTGGCTTAGTCCTGATTCAGTCCTGGTTTAGTCCTGGTTCAGTCCATATACGGTGCACAGGTTCAGCATCTTGGCAGTTATTTTGGTGAGAGTATCTTAAAGTGCTGTAATAGTCGTGTAATGTTTTACATTTTAAACACAGTAATATTGTAATGTAACAAATGACTTTGAAATGACACTAACAAGTCATAAATAACACATTACAGTTTTAAAGTAACTTGCCCAACAATGGTTATAATGCTGTTTCCACATCACAAACATATCTGGAGTTGTGTTCAAATCGTACATATTTAGACTGAGTTCTTCTCTCAAACAGAAAATACTCTGTTCCACCTTGTGATGTCACATAATACAGGAAGAGCTCCACTGTGTCTTTAAACCTTTCCAGACCGACAGTATCCTTGAAAAAGCTGAGACTTTTGGCTTTCCGAGCATATTTCCAGCATTATCTTAAGTCAAACATACTCTTTGAGATGATATCGGGAAAAGGAGTGTCCAATAGGAACTTTGTTTTCTGTCAAACACATGCGCTCCATCCATTTTGTTTGGCCCAAACTTTGCCAAAGAGTGTAGTGAGTCAAAATCGTCGATGCTCTGAGCGTCTGTGTTTTTAACAATTGAAAAAGCCGCTCTAAGTGCAGCTATTTCTGAAATAAATGGAAAATTACACGTCTTGGTCTGTGTAATTGTACATCTCTTGGTATTTTTATTTGAAAGGTTTATTTCAGTCAAATGTACAAATCCAAATGTAATAAACACTATGGAAAATGCAGAAGTGATGTGGCTCTGTGCCCTGGACCTGACACCAGGAAAGTCAGGGGGCGATTGTACTTTTTGTTTTGTTTGTTTTCAGGCAGTAAAGTGTACTTTTAGTTTATTTACAGAAGTCCTATTTTGCACTTTTGTAGCTAAGGCCCTAAATTAAGCATTTTTTAAAGTTGTTGTGTGTTTTGTATGAAAGAGTGTGAATTTTATTTTTATTTTTCCTTTGTATTTCTGGTCCTGTAGCTTTTATTACAGTCATATGACACAACTACAGCAACAGAATGAGAAATAACAGGATGTACTGAAAAAAGGATGTATAACACTTCATTAGGGGAGCAAAACTAAGAAAAAATATCCAGGCGAGGACAAATGTACTAAAATTGTCCTTAGGTCTTTATTGAACAAAAAGTAAAAAGTTCTAGTAATAACAATAGAAGAGAGAACAACTGTTAAGGACTGTTAACTAGGGGTGTGCAAAAATATCGAAATATCAATATATCGCATTGTTTAATGTGATGATACAGTATCAATATTGTGGGCTGCTGTATCGATATATCGCCAAGAGCATTTTTTAGTATATTTTACTAAATTATTGTGTTACAGTACTACAGTTTTGTTTGTTTTTTTACATCTGACATTTTCACTGTTTTAATGATTAAAATGTGTGTGTTTCATATGAACTTTGCTCAAGACGTGGTTTAACAAAGAGTTAAGAATCTCAGCGATGATTTAATGAATTGATTTGAAACATATCGTATTGAATAGAAAGCTCACTGTATCGAGATATGTATCGTATCGTGGACTATGTGTCAAGGTATGTATCGTATCGGCAACTTCTTAATGATACCCAACCCTACTGTTAACGTCACATATGAACAGTTCTTCAGATAACAAATATATAACATATACATAAACAACAGAACAGAACAAGTTTAACAAACTCTCCATCTCACTCCAAATCACTAAATCCACTGAATTCTTCATCTTCGGTGTCACTTCTGAACAACTCCGGAGGTAAACAGAGCGCTTCTTCCTTTCTGTGTAGCTGTCGTCAGACTCAGCATCAGTTTCGGTTAGAATTATTCCGGCCGTTTCTGAATCCTGACAGGATGGTTTCAGTGTCACTGAAGTCCAGACTTTGTCCATCCATCCAATTTCCAGGAAAGTTGCATGATGCACCCTCCCAGTGTCACTCTAAACTTTCTTTCTGCTGCTCGATTACTGTTTTCTGCTGAATGTTTTGCTACTTGCAGCCTGTAATCTGCAGAATATGATTTTCTTTTTGGAGACATTTGTGTTCAATCTTCTCAGTCGTCTTTATAAGTTTGTTTAAATGTTAAATTTTCAGTGGTGCAGAAGTACCAATGACATGATCCAGACAGGACAGAGGCTCTTTCTGCAGGAGACATGTGCAGTAGAGCCAAGTGACAGTGGTACAGGAGGAACAGGAGCAGCGCCCTCTCACGGCTTCACTGTGAACATTTTAATATATAAATCGCACCAGAGTATAAGTCACAGGAAACACCCAAACAATGATAAAAGTGCAACTTATAGTCCGCTATAATACAGTATCTGTACTAGCTCTATTTATCTTATTCCAGAAGTTGCCGTGGGCGCTGCTATCATCATTCATTTTGTATTATTTTGCACAGGGCTGCAAATCCTCACAGCAAATAAGTTCAGTACAGATTATAAAGCTGTTTTAAGTCTTCAGAGAATCAGTGCGGTGTTTATTATATTTGTTGGTCACATCAACACTGAACATTTTACACAAATAAACCAACTTTATGTCATATTTTAGCTGCGAAAACTTTTCTCAGATTGGCCAGTGACATGAATAGGATTGCCGTTTCCCAAGAAAGCGAGGTTTAGGGGCATTCAGAGACAAAAATGGGCGGGGTGGAATAAGGTGAACAGAAGGTCAGCATAATATTTTGACTGGCTCCAAACGGCCTTAATCTCCGAAGAAAGTCCAGACGGCTGTTTACGCTGGCACACACACTCGTCACTCGTCATGCAGCTCATATATGATTGTGTCCAGAAAAGCTTGTTATGCCTAATGTTCTCTTCACATGGTTGTCACATTCACTCAGTACAAGTACACAAGGACAAACTGTACTACAATACAATTACCATAAAAGTTAAACATGGAACTAATTCATAATATTAAAATTATAATGGTTAATATCAATAACATTTTGAAACTGTTAACATTAATATCATTCAGTTTACAGTCGTCCCTCGCTATATCGTGGTTCACCTTTCACGGCCTCGCTGTTTCACGTGTTGTGTTCCTCCCTCTGCATCCTGATTGGCTAACGGATTGTAGACCTTTGTCGATCAATCTCCTCCGTGCCGTGTCTCCTGTACAGTACAGAATGGGTTCAGTTGGACAAATTTACATAATTGTTCGATCGCCAGCAATGTGACTCTGAAGTGCTGCACGATCAGGCAATTGCAGCGCTTACCATGAGGTGCGGAACTCTCCGTCGGTCCTTTCTCCTGCGGTCACCCACAAGCCCGTCCCGACATTGAGTCCTGGTTCAGTTCTGATTTAGTCCTCCTCTTCAGTCCTGGAATCAGTCCTAGGTTAGTCCTGGGTTAGTCCTGGTTTAGTCTTGGTTCAGTTCACTGCGTATGCAGCGCAAAACATTGATATAATCTCAGGTTAAAGGGCGGGTGTGGTGCTGTACTGCGTGGGACTCTGCGCTGTAGGACTCCATTATGGAATAAATTAATCTTCGGTTCATTACATAAAGAAGGAGGGGGAAAAAAAAAGGATGACAGCAGCTATAAGTTTTAACTCTTTCCCCCTTGGACTCTGACTAGGATCAACCCATACATATATTACTAGGGCTGCCCATAGAGCATAAGTGCATAAAAGAAAACAGACTTCCACGAGTGATTATAAATGATTTTCACACTCATGAACTTAATTGTAACACAGACATATTTGTATCTCTGGAAACTTCAGACTCTGAACTCTTCATTTATGGATGTTTAAATGTGATTCAACTCATTTACAGGTTTATAACAGTTCACAGAAAATGAGAGTTTACCTGCTCAGGTGTAAAATCGAAAACAAAAAACTACATTCAGCATCTGATATATGCATGTTCTGAGTACTATATTCATAAAAAATATTTGTCAAAATATTTAAACAGATTTCATATCACAATATAGCCAAGTGTACACCTGTTTTTACCTGTTGTACACCTGTGTGCACCTAATAAATTTTTTCCATTTAGCTTATTCAACTAATTTAGCTTATTATAATATAAATAATATAATAATGTAATAAATAAAACTCTTCCTCGTCAGTGGGTGTTCAGTGTTTGTCATCTTGGTTACTTTCTCGAGTGCAGAGCTCCTCATGAGCGTTTGTTTCTGTAGTGATTCTGTCATACATCACATCTTGGGGAAAAAAAGACTGAAATATTTCAAAGGACTCGTCTGAGCAACATCCAGATTTCGGATATCGCAGGACTCCACACAGACGCATCAGCGGCATTCTCATCTTTGTAAGATTCACTCTCCAAAAGTCTGTTGCTGTCACTGTTTTCCACTTTATAATCACCCTCATCATCACTTTGAAATCTATAAAAGTCACTTTCTCTAAACTTATCCATAAAATACGTCCGCTCCTCATTATTTCGAAAACTGCGCCGCAGCACCGCGATCTTTCCATTGCACGTGTTTTGTGTTGTGTTTTTTTCCGGAAGCTACAATCGTCACTACTTTGATTAACTTCGGAAAAAATCTGCAAAAACGTATCCTTGAATCCTATTGGTCAGTCTAGTGTGGGTTGTAGTGGCCCCACTTATCACAGCTTCTGTTTAAATGTGAAAAACCGAGCCGTTTCTAATGGTCGTCAAATCACATCTTTAGTGATACAGAGGAGGTGTCATTAAGGAAACAAGGGGGACGTCAAATGTCGTCTTCATGGGGGAAAGAGCTAAGAAGGATGCAAAAAGGGTTGTAACTGTCCTGTATGAGAAAAGTGTATAAAGTGTGTGCTGAGTGCTTTTACAGCCTTAAAACATATTTTTTTTAAAAAAATGTAAATATAATGTTGACTACTTCGTGAATTTCACCTATCGTGGGTTATTTTTAGAACGTAACCCTTGAGATAAATGAGGGACCACTGCATTAATCACAAGTATTTAGGCCATGATAACTGAGACATAACATTTTCAATAGTTTCTCCATACCACTGTTAATGTGGAACATCGCAAGCAGAGCAATGACATAGAAATTCTAGAAACAAGAAGGTGACGAACCCCCAACCAAAATAGTTCTATCGTGCACCTTTAAGGAATCATTCAAAAGAACCGGCTCATTCACAAGCATCACATCATTACACGCTGCTGACCAAATCCATTCCAGCTCACTCGTGGTCTTGGCCTCGTCTCGGTGATAGACTTCACACAGCTGCACACGTCCAATTTGTTAAAGGCTTATTGGAATGCACTTGATTCCTCAGCTCCTCAGAGCCCTAGAGAAACCACAGAGACAGGTTTGGACAGGACCAGCAGCAGCCTTTTCACTCAAGTTTTGTCATTTTACACTGACGGTATCAACACTGTCTGTTCTTTCCTACTTTTCCTTTAAGTCTGACAATGTTTTGACTTTGTTTTCGGGGCTTTTGTCGCTGTTTGAAAGACTATTATTATTCTAAATTGTTTTTTTGTATAACGTTCCCTGAAGAGGTTTTAAATGTCATCCATGCACGTTTAAGCAATTTAGTGATCTCTCCAGGACCTTATTTGAATAACCTCGCTCAAGGAGATTTTTTTTGGTAATATTTCGGAGTCACAAATTCACAAGAATCCATCTTGGCGGCGGCTGGTGTGAAAGGGCCCAACAGGTGGTGGGGATCAGTTGCATCACAGCACTGAGGTTTGTGGAGAAGACAAAGGCGAAGCTCCCAAACAAACCAAAACAAACATGGCAACGCAGACAGATGTACTTCAGCATCAGTACAGAATATTTAGTTGGTGATGTAGCCCATGTAAACATATGGTTCCTAATATTTTAAAACTCTCATTTCAGATGCTACACTCCTTTCCTAAGTACCTTTGAATGTATCATGTGCACATGTGGCCTGCACCGAGCTACAGACGGCAGTGAGACACGAGAGCATGTGAACAAAATATACAGTGAGTCAAACAATCTGAAAAGTGTAAAACAGTACTTTAAACCACTTCTAATTTAAGGTTGTGTACTTTACAGAGCCTTTAGACCAGGTGTGTCAAACTCATTTTGGTTCAGGGGCCGTACCAACCTACTTTGATCCCAAAGGGGCCGGATCAGAAAACTCATGAAATATAAACCCCAAAAATAACAATAAGTTCAAATATTTGTACAGAGAAACACAAATCTATTACAGAAATCTTTTTTAATTGACGAACTCTTTCTTTTACAAAATATTATAATATTATGAACAACCTGAAACTTTACAAAAAATGTAATTTCAACACAAAGTTTTAACATTAACTTGTATGCAAATAGGAATAAGTAAATCTTTCTTGGAAAATCCTGCACTCGGCTCCACTTTTCTCATGTTGGACATTTTTCTGATGAGGGTGTCACGGTCAACAGTCAAAACGATCGTCCTTTAAGAGCGTTTGGAAAGAGACAAGTCTTCATTTGTGCTGCTCTGGTGGGAGGGGCCACGTACAGAGACGCTGGAGACGCTGCGATGCTCAGCACCACAGAAAATTACCAATATTTTAATAGAAAATATTATTAAAATATTTTAGTAGAAAATCAGCTGAGGGCCAGATTAAAGGTCTTGGAGGGCCGGATCCGGCCCCCGGGCCGCATGTTTGACGCCCCTGTTTTAGAGTGTCTTACTCCCAATTCTAACCGAGTGGAGAGTGTTTGTTTTCTTGAAAACTCCGGTGAATTACTAAAATATGGACAGGATAGCAGGAATCTCTCTTGCTAAGTTTACACGTGTTGAATACTGTGTTGAATTAAAAGTGAGTACTAAACTGACTTGTGGTTTATATGTGGAACACTTTTACAAATGCACAAAAAATACTTGTATATGCACTTTTATTTTAAACTACATTTTATGCAGTGCTCATTAAGCACTTTGTCATTTAATTTATGGGTATATTCATGGGTAAACGATTGTTAGACATAATTAAAGTAAAAAAAAAAGAACAAAACAAACATGGAATAATTTAAAAGCCTTAAAAAAAACAGACAGATATACAGATGCTGTATAGTAGGGTTGTCCCGATCCAATCACGTGATCGGAAATCGGCACAGATCACATGATTGCGGACGCGATCGGGACTCAGACATTATGTGCCGATCAGGCATCGGATAAATAATATACGTATATAACACACAGGACACACAGCACACACCAGTTTTTTCTGAGGTGTGGGATTTGCTCAGGGACGTCCAGTCAGTGTGACTGTCTGTTCCAGCGCCTGTTGTACTAGAGGTGCACTTACGATGGGACTTTTGGGTCGTGCTCGGGCGCTGTTACCTGTGGTTCTGTGGCCCGTGTTCACACCTGCGCGGCCGATAGCGTCATTGCACGTGCACATGTTGCACAGTGGAGAAGGGGCACGAAGTGTCTATTGAGTGGTGGGACCAATGTTGTGGTGCGCGCTTCACTTTATATTATTTGGATTTCATAGACGAGCTTAAATGTTTCAAATGAAATGCACAGGCTCCAATATAATATCAAATATACAAACTCTCAGGTCTGATCTGATTCTGGTCTGGTTCCTGTTTTGTCCAGTGCATTAAGTTTACTAAGTTACACATTCCAAGACCAGACTGTGAAAAGTCAAGAGTGATGGTTCATCTTTAGAAAAGTTAATAAAAAATTTAAGTTTTGGACATTTGATTTTTCACACTAAGTTCAGACCAAATATTACACATTGAAATCAACACAATCTGATCCTCCACACATCCTGGATCTTATTCTTTGCTCTTTGTTCATTTTATAATGTTTTATAGAAGTTATCACATCAGGACTCGGTATCTGCAGATACTCAGAATCAAAGGATTCAGACTTGGATTCGAGGGCAAAAACATGTGATCGGGACATCCCTACTGTATAGCATTTCATTTTGAATTTATTGAAGGAGTCAATGTAACACAACAATGTAACTGATTTAGAACATTTTATGAGATCTCATATTATTTAGAAACTACCGTTGAAATTGATTTAGTCATTGTTCTATACTATATGTGCAGACTGGTTTTTAGTGGTCCTGAAAATGATCTTGGAGTGAAATGCTGACGTTGATGGTGAGCCAGACCCAGTGAGAACTCCTTCAGAATCCTGGAGCAGTGTGGCCAACTGCTTGGGTTTCAAGAAAAGATCTTCAGACGTGACCACTCGCTTAAATCGTTGGATCCCAGATAAGAAACAACCAATCACATTTTAGAAAAGACACTTTCAAACAATCCCAAGTCTTGCACCTCAGGCCCAAGCACTGAAAAACATTTAGCATTCCTGCCTTTTATTTTATTTTCAGAAGAGCTCAATACCTTTGTCAATGCACTGTTTTACTGTGCCATTGTTAAATTGTATTAAACTTTAATTTTCTCTCATTTATATTACTCCTCCAGATCCTAGTCTACAACCCCAGCCTAATATTATTAAGCAGGTGTTACAGTGACAAACGTGCAGAATGTAAGAGCTTTGTGCATTTCTGACCACAGAAAATGTCTGTGCTTCTCTCTTAACTGGGTGTCTCTACACTTTGATGTTTTGGTTTGTTTTGCTGTTGTGAAGATTCGATCAATCACATTTAAATAGTTGTCATGACGTACTCTATTTTCCCATCGTTTTTGCACGAGCTGTTCCAAATTGACAAATGGAAAAATGGGACTAGAAAAAACCTGTTGCAATGTGCAGTGGTTTAATTAGAGTGACATACGCTAATTGAGTGATGAACTGAACTCTGGGAACAAAGGGAGACGGGAGGACTGAAACTTACACTAACATGTATCGATGGGCGGTATCCAAATTTTGATAGCGTGATTCCGTCTCAGCATTTTATCAGGGTATACAGTATCACCTTATTATCAAAACGTCAGTGTTTACGTGCGTAACCTCACGAAACCACAGCCGCAAAACCACAGCCTCGCATCAAAGCAAGAGCGGCAGCTGCAGCAGAACGTACACACGCAGCACTGCCTCTGTTTGTCAATGTGAAAGATGATTAAACTTGACTGGGAGCGTTTAGCTGCTTGCATCAGGTCCACAGTGAAACTAACAGCTGAACAGACTTGTATTTAGCTTCTGTACAGGCTGCCCACGGCAAACGCCAGGATTTCAAAAGTACATTTTAAAGCACTTATGAAGAGTCTGTCTGGACCTGGGCTCTTTCACATGACACAGATCTGCCCCAGGTGCACGTTGTGCTGATGGTAAACGCACAAATACAACCAAAGACTCATGCTCTCTGTGTATTTTGACAGGGATACGCGCCTATGCTCACGTAGAGCGTCAAAAAACTAGGATGGATCCTATGTTATGAAATCTACACGCACAGCACATGCTGCTCCATACACGCTCCGCCCTCATTCACTTTCCATGCTTTCTAAAAGTTACACTTCCAAACGTGGCATTTTTTACACTTGCGTAGGGCGAAATATGCACATGCAGTGGAGCCAGGCCCACAATCTCTGAAAAGTTAAAACACAAACTGTCTCTAACGCGACGCGCACAGAACAGACTCACCGTCAGCCACAACATCCTCTGCCACAGAAAAAAAAAAATTTATTCCACTAAAAAACATATATTGCACTGAGTCGTGTCCTTTAGTCAGACAAAAGTTGACCCGTATCAGCAGCACAAGAAGCAAACTGTTTTTATCAGCACTAACAGTTCATGCAAATGAGCCATGCGCTTTTAAGTTTCGTTTCTGTAAAACGTAAAGAAATCTGCACCTGAAGCCAAAATGCTGCCAAATTGCAGAAGTACTAGTATTTTGGGGGGGACCAACTCTCTTGCAGCCAGACATGCCATCCTGTCTTGATCTCCCTTATGAGCGTCATGTGACAGTGGAACAAAACTAATCGAACGTCATCTCCCCAACAAACATTATAGATTATTAGATTTAAATCGTGATCACATTAAATTGAAAATACAACCACACATTCATTTGTGATGAGCAAACAAATGTAGACATCAGTAAATTCTAATTATATTAGGTCCTTGTGCAGATTTTTTTAATGACGGTAATGAAACTGATACCGTGGGGTCCGGTCAAGTGGTAACGGAGGGAAACAGGGGCAGATTTTTGACATTCAAATGTCTCTTATTCAGAAACTAGAGGGACTATTGAAATAAGTAAAGTATCAGAATGTAGGAAAGAGTTACACTCCAACAGGGTCAAGTTAAACCTGTGATATTCTTTCAAGTTGTTGACAAAAAATTAAAAAAACTCATGTCGGTAACGGAGGGAATGAAATATGCAGCACTTTTTGGGCAATAAATCCAAACAGTGATAACTCTTGGTTCTCACTTCCATATCCTTAACAAACTGGTTTGAATATTTGCTTCATATAGTTTTCTACCATATGGTACAAGATTAGGTTGAAAAACCTCTTACTTTTTGAGTCATGAAAATTGTGCAAACAAGTAGAAGGTGCATGATTTTACATCATTTTGTCAGTTTTTTTTCTTCCGAATACTTTAACATTACTTCAAAATGAAAGGAAACTATTTCTATAAAATATGTCAGTCCTTCCAAGCAAATTTTTATCATTTTAAATACATTTTGATTTTTGAAAAATCATGTACCTTCATCAACAGTTCAAAGATGGAATAACACAAGACATGATGAAATACATCCATTTATTTACATGATTTTCAGGTCTTTGAAATTTGGGAAATAATTTTTGTTCCATGTTTCATACATGGTCTGTTTAAAACGTCTGTAACTTTAGAACCAAAAATGGTACAGAAAAAAGCATATGTACTCTAGTTTATGAAACTGTTTATCTATCTGTTGAATACATTTTTATATCAGATGCATTAACTTGAATTTTTGGCCTTGCTGTTTACTTCTGCTTGACCGGGCCTCGTGGTATACCGTAATACTGTAACATGGTGATCTAAATATATTATGTGTTAGCAGTTAATACCCCATAGAAGTCAAATAGCCCCTCTTTACTTGTTGTGATTGTGTGTTGTTCTGTGTATCGTGCTCCACATCAACGTTTTGAACAAACTGTGTAATCGAATGATATTCCAGCACATTTTAGAGCGCCACAAGGCAACAGCACACACAATAACATAGATTTCACTGAGGATTATTACTGTCTGGTCTTCGTGGTGGTCCCTGTTATCAAGACATCGTAACATGTGGTTTATCTTGTATGATGAGTGGAAAGTGCTCAGATGGTATTTGTACATCTGCGCTTGCTTTCCCATAACTGTTGGTTTTTTTCAGCTGGGACTGTACCTCCACAAATATGAGATACACTTTAAAGGGCCTGTATTACACCATTTTCTGATCTATGTTTTAATCATCACAAACATGGAGTTGTGTTTTGTTTCATTCACACATGTTTAACAAACCCTGCATACTCAGGCTAAGGTCTTCTCTCAAACATAAAACACTCCACCACCTTGTGATGTCAGTAGGTGGTAATACAGTGTCCCTCGTTTATCGCGGGGGTTATGTTCTAAAAATAACCTGCGATAGGTGAAATCCGTGAAGTAGTCAACTTTATATTTTACAATTATTATATCTGTTTTAAGGCAGTAAAACCCCTCACCACGCACTTTATACACTTTTTTTCACACAGGACAGTTACAACCCTTTTTGCGTCCTTCTTAAAACTTATTGCTGCTGTCGTCCTTTTTGTTATTTTCCTCCTTCTTTATGTAATGACCCGAAGATTCATTTATTCCATAATGGAGCCTACAGCACAGAATCCTGCACGGGTCCATTTTTGGAGACCCGCACCTGTGCAGTACAGCACCACACCCGCCTTTTAACCTGAGATTATATCAATGTTTTGCACTGCATACGCCACGAACTGAACCAAGACTAAACCAGGACTAACCCAGGACTAACCTAGGACTGATTTCAGGACTGAAGAGGAGGACTAAATCAGAACTGAACCAGGACTCAATGTCAGGACGGGCTCGGAGGTGACAATCGATAATGGAGGTGACAAAGGTGATAATGGAGCCCAACAGCGCAGAGTCCTGCATGAGTCCATTTTTGGAGACCCGCACCCACGTTGTACAACACCACAGTACAGCACCACACCCGCGCAGTACAACACCGCAACACTCAAGACTATATCAATCTTTTTCGCTGCCTACACCATGGACTGAAACAAGACTAAACCAGGACTAAACCAGGACTGATTCCAGGACCGAAGAGGAGGACTAAACCAGGACTGAACTAGGACTAAACAGGACTGAACCAGATCTAAAACAGGACTCACTGTCGGGACGGGCTCAGAGGTGACTGCAGAAGAAAGGCCTGACTGAGAGCTCCGCACCTCATGAAGGTAAACGCGGCAATTGCCCGATAGCGCTTTGCAGACAAACTGCTCGGCGTTCTCTCTCTTAAGTCCAAGATTAGTCCTGGTTTAGTCCTGACCCACCCGTGTGTAATTACTACCTGCCTGTAATACACAGTACACGTTCATACGCTGCAAAATAAAGCATCTAAAATTGCACCAAAAAAAATCTGCGACACCGCGAAGGGTGAATGCGAGGGATGACTGTACAGGAAGTGCTCCATCTTGACTAGAAACATTTAGATAATTTCAGACCTAGAATTGAAATCTCTTCTGAACAAAAGGTAAAAGGCGCTGTTCACTTTAAAACTACAGCTTCATGACGTCATATGATGGGACAAAGCTTTTTTTTAAGCTTTGGAGATATAAGGAAACATAAAATAAAAATTTACTCAAACACGTGAATGAAATAAAACATAACTCCATATATGCTTTTGATGATGATGTAACAACATGCTTACATGGCCAAGAGATCACAAGAGTCAAGTGTGTGTAATATAAGGCCTTTAAGAGGCACGTGATACAAGTTAGTTTTTGAACTGTATCAAGTTAGGACGAAGGTTTTTCACAACTTTCTAGATTCAGGCAGAATGTAGAAGGGGCTGATTGCTCAGGCAAATGGTTGTATTTTGATCAGATGCCAAGAAAAGTGGTCAAAAAAAAAGAAATTCCTCTCAGACTCTTTTCTTTCTGGGTCCCAAAAGGACGTCTGATCACCGCACTTAAACCATTCTATCTGGAGAAGGCCAGACAGAGCAGTGAATACAACATAAGTATCTTACTCATACCTGGCATAACTAAGGACACGAGTGCAACCACCTCACTGTGAATTCATCTTTAAAGGTCATGTTTTTTCAGATGTTATGTGTCACCTGATATGTTCACATTATTTGAACTTTCTGTGGAGTCTTAAAACTGCACTTTTCGGTTGTAATCCGTCACCTGCTTGTTTCTATGGATATGTCATCGCTTTGCCTGGAATGTTCCACAGTATGACATTAAACAGATCTGCCTTACATTTACGCAATTACGCTCAAAAATACAGAGAAAAACAGGCATTCAGACTGTGAGCGGGGTCACCTCTCCACGGATCTGGCTTGCAACTTGGCCTGGTCTGGTTGAAGCCACACTATCAAACAATTCTGACAATGCATTAACATTTGAGTGGAGAAAAGCCTTTGACGGTTGCCAGGCTGGTGCCACCTAGTGCCTCCACTCACTTTCACCGCTCTCCAGTGACTAGGTCAGGAATAGGAATGCACTAGACGGTCTGCAAGAACCCCGGAAGTGCGAGTTTGGGCACCAGCCAATCAGCGAAGAACCATATGTTCTGTGTTGGCAATAATTCCCGAGATCGAGGATTTAAAGCCAGAAACAAAGAGAATGTTTGGTGAATTTTATCAAGGGGAAAGACATTATTGCCCTTTTTCCTACGGGATTTGGAAAAAGCTTAATATACCAGTTAGCCCCGTTAGTGGCACATTGCATACGTCACGACCAAATGGCGGCGACTGGTTAAATGAAAAAAGTACCCGTCTACCGTCAAGCGAGTGAATTCTAACGCTGCAAGGTCAGACGGTTTCTACGAAGTGAAACCGGCTGATGAATCAGGCTAATTTGACAAACCCTCCAACAGAAAAGTTACACAGTGCACCTTTACTAAGTGGGTAAAAATGTGTTGTTGTTTTTTTTTAGCTTTCTACTATGTTACATCCTCATCAAAAACATGCCTGAAGATATTTTAGACGTCACTCATGTATGTTTGAGTAATCTAGTGATCTCTCCCGCTCCTACATGACAATTCTCTATAAATATGAAAAAACTGTGCACAACAACTCGACAAACCGGATCTGAAATGCAGTAGTTTCATTAGTGGTTGATTATGCTGCGACAACGCTCTGAAGGGGGAGTGAAAGGTGAAACTCAGAGTCAAAAATTTAAGTGAAACATATTTTAAAATGAATACGTTAATACAGCGAATATAGCATTTACAAAACAATAAAAGGTACCATGGTCTATCTAAGTATGTTATGTGTTAGCAGTTAATACTCCCTCCAAATAGTCCATACAGTTCATATTATTTTTAACAGCCTGGATAACTACCCACTTTTTGCTGTTACTTTTCATTACCGCCTATTAAATCCACATTAACTGAAGATCACAACTAGAATATTAAAACATGCTCACTGTTAATTACTGAGTGTCTGCTCTGGTCTAGTGGGAATAAAGCTGACTCAGTGAACAGCCAGTCCAGGTGCTTGTGCTTTGCCTTTTTGTCTGTTGCTTCAGGAATGAGAGAGAA